CCAAGCTAAGGCACTTGGCAAAAGTATGCTAAGAGCAATTAAGCACGAAGACATGTTTAATTGTTGGTCAAAAAAAAAAAAATTGCACCTTTAATCCTTTTTTTCGGATACGATAGAATCAATTTTAAACATATTCCTACTCCTCTATACTAGGGGAAGGGGTATCTAAAGAGATCCAAGGAAAATTCGAGATGAACTAAACTACCACCACTCTATACGGATGCCTACGCACACGCTGATAAACTTTTTCTAAAAAAGTCTGGATTTTTTAGATTGCAAGTCAAAAAATTTAATCCCTTGACCTACACCAAAATAGAGTTTTGAAACTCTCTTGGTTTAATTTGGTTTACTAGTACATAGCTCACTGTAAATTACTCTAAAGTCTGTCTTCATGCGGACATGCCAATCACATTCAATTAGAGAGTAAAAGAAGAGAAAAACAAATGAGAATCTCTCTGTGTCTTCTCTAACGGATCTATTTCTCGTTCTTTGAGGTATCTTAGTTCAAGTTTACTGAGCCTAATTTGATATCAAGTGGGTAATTTGTCCGGTCAGATACAATTAATCAAGTTATTCAATTCCAGTCTATACATGCAAACTACTGTTGAGTACGTCGTAGCTGTGCTAGAAGATAGGGTTACGTATTTCTCCTCTTGATTTTTTTTACTAAAAAAGAGTTTGAATTAGTTTTGGTTCAATTACCGGCACTCCTTAAGACATACTTGTGACTAATTGCTAATGGAGATTCTTACAAATCAGATTATTTGTGAGAATTCTTACAAATTCTTCACCGATAGCACTTTCATAAAAAAAAAAACATGCAATCATTTAAATGGCCTTATTAACAAATCAATTATACACGTTGACAAAAAAAAAAATCAATTATACACGATTAACAGACTCACTAAAAAAGAGAAAATGAAATAACAAAAAAAATAAAAGAAATTGAAATAATAAAAGAAAAATAGTACAAGCAAAAGTGTAGTGATAAAAAAAGGGTCGGAACATGGTAGAATAGAGACACCATAATTACTAGTGCCAATTAAGAGTGCATTTTCTGCTCTGAGATTATATATGTAAAGATTAATATACAAATGTATGGATTTGAAAAGTAAATAAATGTGTTCGGATAATAGATTATTCGAGATAATTTTTTGAAAAAAAAAATTACGGTAGCATATTTTTGATGTGACGTATGTGAAATAAAATGATAATTAAAAAAACATGTTAATTATGCAAACAAATAAAAATCAACAAACAAACTAGAATAAGTAAAATTTTGGGAGTTTTGCTTAAAAATCTGTTAAAAGCAATAAGTTCGATAAACAATCAATTTATATTAAGAATTGAGTTATCCATATCCACTGATAACAAGTAAAGGCCTCATCCCTTGCGGCACTCGTCACATTTGTACAACGTTTTGATGATTTGATTCGAATATTAGTTAAGAGTTATTGACCCAACCAGATTCCCTCCAATAGTTTGTAGAATCCAAACAAAGGGTTCTGTTGTACTGTTGAAAAAGGTTGAAGAAATACCACCCAACCTCCCAGCAACGGCATGTTCTTGAGTTTGACCAACCCCATTGACCAAGTCATCAGTTCCAGAATTTCCCTCTACAAGCCCTAAAAGCTTAGGGATGAGTCGAGCTGTCGAAAGCGGGTTTTAAGTAGTTTGCTTTTTCGGTGACAATGGCTCGTTGTCTGAAGGTGTAGCAGTTTCAGGGTATCGTTTCAGAGTCGTACCTTCAGCTAGCTGCTCATGCAGGACTACTGGGACTAGGACTAGTACTACTAGCCTAGGCCCGGCGCAGGGATTTATAGGCAAATACCCAATGCCCATTGCTCCTCCCATGGCTATTTGCTAGCTTGAATTTCCCATGCATGTGAACCTTTTTTTTTTTTTTTTTTTATAAATAAATTTTCATTATCAGCGAATTAGGGGTGGCAACGGGGCTCCCCATTCCCCGCCCCGTTGCCGATTAATTCCCCTCGCCCCGCTTGTCCCGTCCCACCCCGTTTCCCGGCAGGACACTAGGGAAATTAAAAAAATTTATTATATAATTTTATTATAATTAAATTTGACCAAATAATTAAGTACTAAAATATCAATATATCACTAAAATTATTATTTATTGTAACTTCATAATTGAAACTCATAAAAATAATTAAACAAAAGTTATTTGAATACAATCTAATATGATAAAACAAATATAACTAAAATAATCAAGTTTTTACTTTTGATACAAATACAATCACTAAATTATTATTATATTTTTTTAGAAAAAAAAAGTGTTACTGTATTAAGTGTAGTTAGGAATTTAATATAAATGTATTAATAAATTTAGTATTAATAATTTTTATTAATAGACATATATAATAAGTAGTATAATTGATAATGAGTGTGTTTGGATAGAGTATTATTTGAAATATTATTTGGAATAATTACTCTAACATTTTGTATGATATGATGTATATGAGATAAAAAATAAGTAAGAATATAAAAAAATGGGTTGAGAAATGTGTTTATGATACAAGTAAAATATTATTTAAGATAAATTTATAATATATAATTATGCACATATATATATCTTTTTTTTTCCAAACGAGTGGTGAGGCGGGGGAGTATACTCTCGCCCCCGCCCTAATAGATCTTGCGAGTACCCGCTCTTGTTGCCATCCCTGGGTTATGACTGTGGTCTATTTTTTTTTTTTTCAATATAGGGTGTATTCCAATTTTACCGGACTAATCACCCTTCACCTGAAGTACCCCACCCTCCAAGAGCACCCAGGCGTTAAGAGAGGTTCGAACTTTGGACTTGGGACTTGAATGGCTACTCCAATACGAGGTGATCTAACCCCGAGGGGCGACTGGGTCTGTTTGAATAGGAAGGTTATTTAGGAAAAAAAATTAAAAATGACACTTTATATAATATGATGTATATGAGATAAAAAATAATTATAAAATGCATTGCATGATGTAACTAAAACATTTACCATCCAAACCTAGATTTATGTGTTTGGGTAGCAGATTATTTGAAAATTTTATTTGGAATAAAATTATAGTAGTTTTTAAAGAAGCACTGGAAGGCGTACAGCACTACTAGATTTCTTATTGACCCGGGCACGGCTGCACAAGAGCTCGGCAAAGTCAGATCATATCCATCGGATTGTGAATTATTTGTCAAATTATATCTGCTTACATCATCATTACAATTTTCAACGTACCTTTTTATCTTCTCAATTACCTTTTTATCTCACATACATCACATCATAAAAAGTGCTACAGTAAAAATATCTCAAATAATTCACAATCCAAACAAACCCCATATTTAATACTCCGGTTTGCACCTAAAGAGCTTGACCGCTGCTAGCGCTCTCTCCCTCAGGCTCGGATTATAGATCACGCATGACTTGAGAAATCGTGAGAAAACCCTATCCAGTTACGGTCGGATTCTCAAAATAGGAATCCAAATTGGATTTGCGTTCAGCTGATTGAACTTATTTACAGCGCACTGATGACCGGTCAAGCAATAATAGCCCGATGCTGCGTCCATCCTAAATTGTACTAATCGGGTCTGAATTTGAAAGTGACTGTTCCCGACCGAATCCGAGTATCCGACCCTTCACAGGCCTCGTAAAAGTCTCAGCAGCAACTCGTACAAAGCCCTCTTTAACACTGCTTTGAATTCCGCGACCCGTTGAACACCTAAACCCCAGGCACAGCTCAGGAGCGTGGGGTTCCAACCAGGCAATGAAACAGCCAAAATAATCGGCGCGTGGAGGTAACGGGGGAACCTGACGGGTTTATGGAGGCCTCGAATATCTCAAAACAAATCCCTGACGTCATCACCTAAGTAAGTGACCAATCAGTGTTGGACCGAGCGTGGCCCAAAGGCCAACAGGCATTGTCTTGCATGGTTATATGTGTACAATTGTAGATTCACCTTTTTTTTTTTTTTTTTTTATCATCATCTCATCACGTGACCTACTTTTTCTAGACTTGATTGTGTGTGTGTTTTTATAGAAAACACCGCACCAAACCCCTCCAAAAGTGAGTCACCTTTTCATTCCATTCCCTTTTTTTTTTACTTTTCTCCATTTTCCCCTCTTATTAATGGTGTAATTTTTTTTTAAATTAAAATGCTTTCAAATTTGTGGCAGTAGCTCATCTTAGCTACAAAGGATTCACAAACATTTACTAAATGTTTGGCAAATCTTAATTGGGATCTTGTGTATGATTTTATTTTGAGGCGAATTAGCAGCTATCAATAATTGCAGCATTTGGATTGTAATTTTTAAAAATTTTTATAAAAAAAAAAATGTACTATAATCAATGTTTCACGTGAAAAATCACAATAAAAAATGATATTTTTGATAGCTCCCACACAATATTAGAAAAAGCCAAAATAAGTACTAAAAAAGTACAGTTTACAAATCATTTATTTTTGAATATTAAGTGTCCACGGAACAAGAGCGGATTGAATTTAGGTATTGCAGAATTGGGCACTATCATAGGGATTGCTCCTTTTTCTTAATCAAAATATTTACTTAGCATTTCCTAATATATGATATACATATATATTTGCATAAAAGATTATTTAGAAAAAATGATTTAGAATAATATTATAACATTTTTGTGATTAAAAATTATGTTTATGATATAAACTGAATAATATTTAAAAAGTTTTTCTGTAATTATATATTTTTCTTAAAAAACTTTCAAAAGCTCGAATCCAAGTACAAAAGCTGAAAGCCAAATGATTTAAGATGCACCGCTTAAACCGGGTCCAGATATGATCACAAATTGACTTGATATACAGGTTTGAATTTGCATACTATAATGTGTCTGACAAATGTAAAAAAAAAAAAAGAAAAAGAAATTTTTTTTCAGGATTTCCTCTTTCACGAAGTGGCACGGTGAGTGAGTGAGTGAGAAGAGTAGACTGCAATTATCACCGCTGGGCATTCGGCAGTACAGATAGAATTTGCCCTTTTGTTACTGTTTGGTGTCCATTTTAGTGTGTAAACTCTTAAGTCTGAAGAGTGTTTGCACTGTGCAACTCAAGTGAAGTTGTGAACAGATAAACCGCAAAGAGGAGGGGTGGGGGGCCATATTTCTTCTGCATTGCTGCCCTCTTCTCAGTTTTCCTATACAGTGAAAAAGATACTTCTTGCTTGCTTCATATGTGCATAAATAAACAGAAACACGTATAGAGAGAGAGAGAGAGAGATACAAACAACTCACAAGTGTGTGTTGTGTGTGGTGTGTGGTGCGTATTGTGTGTTGTGTGTGTGGTTGGGTGGTAGTATATAAGAAAGAAATGCAGCAGCACCTGATGCAGATGCAGCCCATGATGGCAGCCTACTATCCAAGCAACGTTACTACTGATCATATTCAGCAGGTCCTCCATTTCTCTTCTCTTCTTCTCCTTTCTGCCTATCTGCCCTTTACTCTCTGTCTTTTTGCTTCTCTGCCGGCTGCTGCAGCTGCAGCTGTTTCTCGTTCAGTTGGCCTTTCTGCCATTTGACCTACTTTGCGCTCAGTTCGTGTTACTCTTCTCCTGGTTTATGCTTTTAGTGGATATCTACTTTCTGGAAATAACTGTTTCACTTGTTTGATAGGTTCTGCTATATATAGTATCTGCCTTTGCTCTTTAATAGGATTTTTGGGTCGTGTCTGATTCTTAATTCTTGGATACCAAACCATTCATGCTCCATTTCTTGTTTATTTGAGTTGACAGCGTGGTCCTTAGGCTGTTGGTATCATTCCTTCTCTAATCAGTCCTTAGAGGAGGTACTTTATGGGGGTTGTTGTGCTCATCACCTGTTTTGTGTGCTTAGATACTATTTTCTTTAAAGACACCATACAGAAGTCTATAAGAATGTCTTTTCTTTCTATTGCCTACATATTTCTTATTTTCCATTATTCAGCTAAAGATAGAGCTTTCAACTTGGCTTCCTCCTGTTCTTTAGCCTGTTGTCTTCTGTCTCTCTATATTATATAGTGTTATTATAGTGAAGAGTCTTGAGATATTCTTCGGGCCGGCATGATGTTAGGTTACTATCGACATAAAACCCCCTTCATCACCTGGTCTTTCTTTGGCTTGTACGGTTCTACAAAAAGCTATCTTTGTTATCTTTGTAGTTGTTAAAAAGAGTAGTTTGTGACTTGAAGAGATTGTGTTTTCGTCCTCCCGCTGTTGTAAGTCTGGATTTTGCCACTGCTTTTCATACGGATGGATAATGCGGCTTTAGTTATCTTGTTACACCCCCCAACCCAACCCCCCCCCCCCCCCCCCAAAAAACCCAAAAACCCAAAAAAAAAAACCAAAAGTTCTCCCTCAGAAAAATGGTCCATAAAAGGATTAGCAATTCATCTGCTCAGGATGTATCATTTTTCACCATCTTGTGTTGTTTGTTTTTCGATTTGTGCATGTATTTCTTATTTTACTCAAAAGAAATATCTTGCGTAAGGTGGTGAACCAAGAGCCTTCTTTAATTTTGCATTGTTGGACAACGTGCTGCAGCTTTCGTTTTGGCAAGCTTATGTTCTTATATGGCACAAATCCCTGCATGTGCATTTGGCAGTTGATGCCATGACTACCTCAAGATAGGATTCAAATCATACCGAGGAATATTTGAATAGTTAAATAGTTCTTAAAGATCAGCTCTGACACTCGAGAAGACAATTGAGACTTGTTTGAAATGGCTACATTAACAAATCTTCCTTGTTAAATGTGACTACTATTCATATACTTGGCATATATGATAATGTTTACGCCATGACTTGCTTATGGCGACAATCGATCTGGCTAAAGGCTAATCAACTAAACTTTAAGGACATGATTCTCATTTCTTATGTGTGAAATACCTCCTCAATTCCTTTTGCATCTTGAGGAAACTTTACTTTCTTATTTTCTGAGAGTATGTTACTTCCATGTGGAACATGAGATCTGAGAACTTTGGCTTAAATCAATGAAATCATGTAGCTGTCGGAGCTTGACTGAGAAACTTTTTACCCTACTGAGTACTTAAGTTGTGCATGTCACATACTTTCTACTAAGCTACAATCAACTGAGAATTTGGCTGCGACTTGTAGTCGTCTGCTTTGTGGTACTTGTTTTTCCATTCACTTCACCTATGTTAAACTTCGCTAAAATGATCGTAGTAGGTAAGTTACAGTCTTATAGTAAGTGTTTCATACGCCACTGAATGGGAAAGGGTTTCAGCATATAAAAAATGGATGTAGCCAGATGCAACGGTTCTGTGTGGTTGTACTTGTATGGTTGAAGTATTGAGCAAAACGATTCTTGACCTTTGCTGCGTTCCTAGTTTTCTAGTATAGAAATTGTATCAACTATTTTGTTCCCTCTCTTACTTGAATTTCTTGTCATTTTTGTGTAATTTGCAGTTTTTGGATGAGAACAAATCCTTAATCCTGAAGATTGTTGAGAGTCAAAACTCAGGAAAACTGAGCGAGTGCGCAGAGTGAGTAAAAAGTTTTGGCTTGTTATCATCTGACTAGTTTAAGAATTCACCAGCATCAAGAATAACTTACTTTTATTCTACCATGTCCTGAAAATATTTGCAGTATAACTGTACATCTGTATTCAATCGTTATATGTTACGTCTTTCATCTAATTTGAGGTTGATGACAGCTGAAGATGAGATAATGTAACATTGGTGGGCTTTCCTAGCTTTTGTAAACGAATAAAAAGGGAGACAAAAAGAAAAAGAAATAGGATAGAAAATAAGAAGATGATGGTTGTTTGGTAGTTATACCCATTGATATCTTTCTTTAGCTTATACTTGTCTGCCTAGGAGACAAAAAGATCTTTGGCTTACACTTGTCTGTATGGTATGGGGGAAAAATAAAAAGATCTCCCCAGCTCACACTTTTCTTTCTTTGGCTCATTCTTAAATAAAGCGATTTAGCTGAATTATTGCAGTCTCTTATGGAAAACATTCTATAATCTTGACTTTTAAATTTGAACCGTAACTTATTGCTTGATTTGGCATCAACTTCCTTACAAGCTTAACCTGTGTTTTTTTTTTTCGTTCGAGAAAAGTAGTGTGCTGTTGTAAAATTCTCCTTCATGCTGTGTCGCTTGTAATTTTGCTTGGTTTTGGGAGAAAAAACTTGCGGGTTTGTAGGGGAAAATTGGTTTTTTGTTTCAAGCATTAGAAATCATGCTACACAGAATAATTAAATTTTCCTTCATTGGTGCTTTACATTCAAATTTGTTGTTGTTACTAGTTATTTAGAGCAAATGACTTACTTTTAGCTTGCATCCTCAAGCGCATGCCATTGATACGGCACCACATGGAATAAAACTTGAGGCTTGATCACTTCCAACCTTCTCCCTCATCAGGAAAGATTTTTATGCGGCAGATAACATCAGATAACTAATTCTTTTAGTGGTACAGGAACCAAGCAAAGCTACAGAGAAATCTAATGTACCTTGCTGCTATTGCTGATTCACAACCTCAACCTCCAGCCATGCATTCTCAGGTACTAACCTCGCAAATCGAAATCTTTGGCAGCAAGTAACCCTGCGAACTAAGAACATGCACCTAGTCGTGATCACTTGCGTGATATGAATGTCACTTATGTGCAGTGCTAATTGCCTTGAAAATTTTTGTATGTGTTGGCCCTGGATTTAATGATGCTCGTGACATTTCATTTGTTTATACAACAAGTCTTTGTTTTTTTGGGAGCTATGATGTCACGGAGTCTAGTTCTTGAATTTGTATTGCTAATTCAGTTCCAGAGTTGTTTTCATTGATATATGGTTCCCTTTTTCTTTGTTTCCAGCAGTTCCCTCCCGTTGGCATTGTGCAGCCTGGCGCACACTACCTACAGCACCAACAGGCTCAACAGATGACGCCACAAGCACTAATGGCAGCACGTTCCTCCATGCTGTATGGCCAACAGCCATTTTCTGCACTGCAACAGCAGCAAGCTTTGCACAGCCAGCTTGGGATGAGTCCTGGAGGAAGCAGCGGAATTCACATCCTGCAAGGCGAGGCGCATGGTGCCGGAAGCAGTGGCGTTCTTGGAGGTGGAGGCTTTCCTGACTTTGGTCGTGGCACAGCCGGGGAGGCCTTGCAAGTGGCTGCAAGGGGAATGGGTAGTGGAAGTAAGCATGATTTGGGAGGTGCTATGTCTGCTGAGGGGAGAGGTGGCAGCTCAGGAGGCCACAATGGTGATGCGGGCGAGACTCTTTACTTGAAATCAGCTGATGATGGGAATTAAGCTAAAAGATGGGTAGACCTACTTGGGCGTAACACCTGGACCTAGGAACTTTTAGACAGGTGTTCAATGGTGAAAAGAACTAGTCAGGTGACCTAGTTGTAATTTGGTACGAAACATGAGGTTGTAACTGTTAAGCCTTTGATTATCACCAATTTAAGAAATGAGGCTTTGCATCTTGTGCTAGTGTAATATGTAAATTGTTTAGTGTCATTTGTCGTGTAGTACTTTATTTTGCCTGCCAAATCTTTTAGCAGAAGCTTTGTTTAATAGCGGCCAGTAATCTGGAGTATAGATATCATTACTCTCTTGAATTCTGCTTATGGTATGGTCTCTTGCTTCAAGTACGTGTCTGGAGTGACCTTTACAGGAATTTTACTGCCCAATCTGTGGGTTGTGTGAAGCTGTGAAATTTTATCACTGGTTCTGATCCTATTAGTGATTCAATTAACTGCTATGTAGCAGATTCTTGATTCAGATATATGGATGGCTAAGTGGATCAACGGGTGCATTGTGATTTAGAAGTGTTAGGATCCTACCCACAGTAAATTTGCTGAGTACAGCCGAAGCACGCCCAACAAAACTGTTGTGCTGAACTCTCGGGGAACCTGCTGCAATTCACGTTGGGGATGAAGTTGTGTGATGCAATGGATTTCGATGGAACGCCTTGTTCTCGAATCTCAGTGCAATGTACCGCACGGCTTAATCCTTGAATTCAGTTCTTATTCACTAGGGCGTCAACATACAGCCTTTTTCTTTAGAAACATCGAGGAAAGTGGATAGACATGCAGAAAATTTATTAGCAGAATTCAATCATGAATATTTTGGGAGATGAAACTGGCCGCAATTGTCCGTAGTTGCGTAATTTGTTTTCGTGTCTGGGAGGATAGAGCACTCAGCAGCAGATGGGAACAAGTGGGGTTTCATCCACCACAATTTTATTGGGCATGTGTTTGACTAGCATCCTCTGAACAAGGAGGAAAGAGGCGAGCTTCAATATAAGCCATACATTGTCTGTTCCACAGTCTACCATATACAGTTGGTCCTGACGCATTGGATGTTTACTTGGGAAATTTCGAACTACCAGCAGTTTGTATCTATGTTCAAAGGTCACGCAGCCGGTTGACAAACCGAAATGTAATCAGCCGAACATGAAGGTCGTTACTTCCAGGGGAGTTCATTTGCCTATTTGCGAGGGAAAGCGATATGTATGAATTGGCTGCCTTGTTTTTCAAAGGCAGGACAGGTGTTTTATATACAATGCTGCGTTAAAATCCGCAACGGATTCTCTGTACCACATCCTGTCCCACACCTTCTAAACTTGTCAAGTGTCCTTTTATAAACCAAATCTTAAAACAACCCAACTCGAACCATGTTTAATTATTTAATCGATTAATCGGGTTGAGAAACTTAATCACTATAACCAAAATCCATTAAAATAAAAACCCAAAAAACAAAATTAAAGATTAAACAAGGCACAAAAAAAAAATTAAAGAAACTTAATTTTGTTTTTTGGGTTTTTATTTTAATGGATTTTGGTTATAGTGATTAAGTTTCTCAGCCCGATTAATCGGTTAAATAATGGCTGAACTGGGCCCTTGCCCTTGTTACCGATCGACTCGAGCCAGAAGCGGACTCGGTCGGGCGATATGGTGACCTGGGTGAATTTGGTATACTCGAGTATTACCTTGTAGACCGGCCATGTCCGGGTAGGTGGAGTCCGGCCAACGTCCGGATGGGTGGAGTCCGGCCAACGTCCGGAAAGGGATGAATGAACAAACGCAGGCACGAGGGTTTTACTTCTCAAAAAGGAAATTTTTAAATCATTGGAGGAATAAGGGGAAATGTCAAGGGAACGAACGAACAAACAAATAGCTCCTCGTGAGCCTGTATCCTTTTAATGAATGCATTATCATTGCTTTATATTGGACATGTTTAGGATTAATTGTTATTACATACTACTGTTCCTTGTTTATTACTTGTTTATATATATAGAACCTACTGGTTTAGCTCAATACACGGTCAATTGTTCCTAGGCAGGGAGGCGAGCAAGACGAGGTCGGTTATATGTCTAGTTGATCTAGTTCTTTGGCCTTGTAATGGTTCTGCGCCCAGTACTTGGCACGGGCTGGTTGTATGAGGAATGAGAACCCTTGTATATCGATGGTATGTATGAATGGTAAAAACTTTGAAGACTTCTGGTGTGAGAATTTTCCTTATCTTTACTGAGCATCTATTGTCTATGATGTATATACATGATTCGAGTTCCAATAGAGTGATCCTGGCGAGAGCTGGGCAGGCGAAATCCCGAACGGCCTTTGGTACCCTTAGGGGAGGTGGGGTCGTCACAGGTGGTTCAGAGCTAAGGCTTCAGATCTTTGTATTTATCTAGGCTGATGTTTAGATACCAAACTGTGGACCGCTTGAAAGTTAAATGATGCTTATAGCGATTAATTTAGAGTCACTTCACGGGTCTCTACAAAGGAGCAAGAATGGGCCAAGTGGTGTTATGGTCCTTACTATGTGATTGAGTAAAGACTTAAGTGCCCTTCTAGAAATGTAAGTTGTGAATCATGAATGTTATAAGTTGTATAACCTTTATCTTAATAATTGGAGGAAATTTGATATGTATGTTGGGTAGGAATCTCGAATGTGGTGATTTACTCTTGGGACCGGCCGGCTCGAGTTGTGAATTATCTTACTTTGGATTCTCGTGCCCGAGTACTTCAGAGTTGAGGCGATGCTAGCTACTAGGTACTTGAGACTTGTATTTTGGAACATGAACAGGCTTTGTCCGACTAAAATGAATATAAGAAATCTACGGACATCTAGTGACTAGGAAGTGACGTGAGAGACCGGACGGGGTCATCTTAGCTGAGTCTGGAAAATATTGTAACCCAAAAGATCCTTGTGGTGAGATTGAAATGATTCTTAGTACGTGATCAACTTTTGAGAACTATTTTTGATCTGATTAGAGCGAGTTGGAATTTCGAGGTCGAAATTCTTTTAAGGGGGAGAGGGTGTGAGGATCCGCAAATTTTCTACATTTTTTCCTCAAAAATGCCTTTTATTTGAAAATTATTATTTATTAAAGCTCTACTATCTAATTGTTCAACTATAAGTGCAGATGAACCTAGAAAATAGGGTTTTCCGCTTCGGTTTCATGACTTGAGCAAAATTAGGGTTTTTCGATTTTTCCGCCGGATGAATTTTCGGTACTGGCCGAGGATCAATTTGATGATTAAAAGTGACTTTTAAATGAGAAATAATATGTAAGTAGTAGCCATGAGATAAGGTTAGTAAATGGAAAGTAAAAACCCTAGTACGTGAGTTTTAAGAAAAACGGCGCGAACCGGCGGGTCCCGCGCACTACCGATTGAACCACCACTTGATCACCACTTTCTTGCCATACAAGTTTATCATTAATGGAGCAAAATATCTTCCCCCTCTTAGCCCTCCTATTGGCCGAAAATTAGAGGTTAGAAATGCAACAAGAGAGAGAAAAATTTGTGGTCAAGATTAGTCCAAGTGTTAGCCAAACTTGTGGCTAGAATTAATCCTTAGCTTTCCAACCTTCTTATAACACAAGCTTAGCTTAATTTCCTTCATTAATTCTGCATCTTGGCCGAAATAAGAGAGAGAGAGAGAGACAAAGAGAGTTCATCTCATTCTCCTTCATTTCTTCTCCAAATCTTGAAAAGTTTCTTCTGTTCGCGCAAATCTACTCCGATTAAGTTGTTATCTAGCACAAAGGCTACCTACCGGTGTAATTTTCTTGAGGAACAAAGGCCTTGAACACTTGTTTCTAGTCTCCTTGGAAAGGTATACATGCTGGAACCTTGACTCTCCGATTAAATTCACGATTAGTTGCTAAATATGTCACATATGGTTGAATTATTCAGGTATGTGGTGAAATAGAGGCTTGGGTCATGATTTTCCATTTTATTGGAATATTTTTCAGCTTTCCTATGATTTTTCTAGTGCTTAAAATTTGGGGCTTTGATGTTTAAATTTTAATATGGGAAGTTAAGATGGTGAAGCAAGCCAAAAACAAAGAAGTTAGCAATTGATTATAAGAATTCCAGATTTCTGGAATTTCATGTTTCACTTCTGTCCGGTTTTGTAGCCTTATCTTAGAGGCCGAATTGGCCTTAGGTCAAAGAAGGAAAGTTGTATAGAATGGTGTTTTATAGGTGCCTATAAAATTTCAGCTCAATCAGAGCAACGTAGGATGTGAAAAGTCCAAAATACCCTCACTGTTTTAAAAATTTCCCAGCAGTCCGTTTCATCAGTTAAGTCCAGTTTATCACGTTTTTTGACTAGTATTCATTCTGATTTAGCTTTTTGCCAAAACATGAAAGTTGTAGTATTCTGAATTATCTTTCAAATGCCTCTAAGAAAACCTGATTCGGACTTGTGTACTCTGAGATATGTCCATTACAGTGTAATGCATTTAAACAGCCGACGAATTGATTTCTGGTTTAGTAATTTGAGAATTTGACCAAGTTACATTAGAAACTGGACTAAGTGACCTTCATGAACATTGTAGCCCTGTGTCTTAGCTTCGAAACGGCATAAGTTGCATCTTAATCCGATAAACGTAGCCTTGGATAAGTTATTTCCGCTTTCATACGTCAAATCTGTCTTTTGCTAAATTGAATTTCTGCACTTGTTATTTCTGTATTTCTTATTCTTATGATATTGTGAGCCTATGGAACGGCTCTTGACTTGAATTGCTTATGTGTGATGTTGGGTTGTGGTTGAGGAAAAATAATGAAGCCAAAATGGCTGGAAAATTAGGTAAACACAAAGGGCATGCTGCCAATTTTCGCCCGAAAGCTAAGGTTTATTTGAACTTGTAAAATACTATGACCGTTTTTCCATCTTAAAAACATGATCCTTCTTCAATTGGAAACTCCAAATGTTTACTTACTCTTACCAAATAAAGAGGAGTAGTTTAGGATTTTCTTGAGTATTTTGTCCTCTCTTTTTCATGAATTTCATTAAGACAATTAGTCTATAATATCTACTTGAATATAAGATAAGTTTCAACCCACATAAACGATTCCGAAAATGGTATTTCCTAGTCTATCTAGTTGGATTTTGATTTGTCTTTAGTTCAAGTGTTTCCATTAGAAAATTTTATAACCCTTTTGAGTTGGTTTTATGTGTGGTCTATGAAACCCTAGTTATTTTTATCCACGAGTCCAAATGTCCACGTTCCACTTTAAAGTCTTTTTATACGTTCTACTCATCATGCGACGAGTCTCTTTGATTGCACCTAATTGGTTGTGACAAATGAGTGGTAAT